GAAGCTGGTATTGGAAACCAAGTGCTCATTTCTGCTGAAATGAACTAATAATTCCGTATGTTCCAGTCATCGAAGGAATGGATGAGAAGGGGGAAAGGTGTTTTTACAGACTTATCACAGTCTTAGTACAGCCTATGGACCTTCTTGAGCCACTCCTAAATAATTCGGAGATCTTCTTAGGCTATAATTAGGAACATGTGACTTCGCAGTATCTGACCATATCCATCAGAATGGAGTTCAAACTCCCCCGAGCGCGGAGCCCTCTTTATCTTTCTCTAAGTCAGTTTATCTGTGAGCTCCAGGCTCATCCTCCTGTAGCCCAGCCTGGCTGCCCCGTAGGCAATTCTTCCAATGTCCCAAGGTCCTGTCTCCCTCCTCCCCTCCTCCCTCCTGCCAGCACTTTCACCTGCCTGACGACAGCGCGGGTCAGTGTTATGTTCCGGTATCACCCCCTCCCACTCTAGCTGAACAAAACATCAAAAAATGTCCTCGGGTGAGAATAAAAAATAAATAAATAAATAAATAAAATTTTTACAGCTATGCTTTTGATTTCATGTTCATTAGAGGTGAAAAAGAAAAAAACACAGAACTCACACATTAAACCCACAATTTCACAACTACTGTAGTTTAAGAGTAAGCAAAAGTGGGTGGCAATGTTAGTGAACTACAGTTGACCCTGAACATCACCAGAGTTAGGGGTGCTAACCTCCGCTCACAAGTGTAGCCGAGCAATTTAAACCTGGGCTATTCACGGCTCCACTATATTTTGGGTGTGTGTTGGGAATGACACGCCAATTAAGTTACAGATGAATTTCCCACTGCCTGGAGGTCAGAGCCCCTCACCCCCACCTTGCTCAAGGGTCAACAGTAAATGTAGAGCGTGCGGGGAGATGTAGTCAACATTTTTTATTTTTTTTTATCCTCACTCTAGGACATTTTTCCATTTTTTGTTCAGATAGAGTGGGAGGGAGAGAGAGAGAAAGAAACACCGACGTGAAAGGGACACATCAAATGGTTGCCTCCCGCACAACCCAACTGGGGCCGGGGACAAACTGCAACCGAGGTACGTGCCCTTAGCGGGAACCGAACCCAGGTCTCTCTGGACCGCAGGCCGATGCTCTAACCGCTGAGCCAAACTGGTCAGGGCTGTAGTCAACATTTTAAAAGAAAGATGCTAACACCTGAGGTTTGAGGAAATCTCATTTAATCCGTACAAGAACCGTGAAATAGATATCTTCTCATTTCTGAGATCCGAAGCCTGCAGGCCACAGAGATTAAATAGCTCGCCTCAGTCACAGACTCTTCGGGAGGGGACAGGGATGCTCTCAGGTTGGGTTGACTCCTCCTGCCCCATGGGACTCACACACTGGCTTTGTCTGTTTGCATCTCTCTCTGAATGTGGAAGGTCCTCGAAGGCAGGACCGCACCTTCATTGCCTGCACACCCCAGGCCCTTCCAGTGCTCGGTGGGACTCTCCAAGGCTCGGGAAAGCACGAGCACCTGCAGGAGGGATTCCCAGTGCACAGTTCGCTCAGCACATTTGCATTTCATCCTCCCGATTCTCTTCCTGCTTCCCAGGTATGGGCCCTGATGACCAATCTAGCCTTTGAGGCAGGATAGAAGCAGCTAGGAACATTCCTTGGCAAGTGGAATGGGGAAACAGACAGATAGCTGAACAAACTAGCTGAGCAATTTACAACCAGATCCAGAAGGTCACCAGGTGGAGAGCCCCCGGGCCCAGGCAACAGGCAAAACTGGTGCTGGCTTGGCCCCAGGGTAACCTCCCTCTTCTGGCGCGTCACTGGTCATGGGGTTTAGACCCCCTGACCCTTCCTCCCTAGCAACAACATCTAGACCTCAGTTGTATTTCAGGTCCGGGCCCAGAGATACAGCAGAGCCAAGTGTGCAATGCCAGGACAGGGTCCGTCAATAACTAATGACCCCCTGTCCTAGCACTGACCAATCAGGGGAGGTTACGGCCCTGAAAGGACACACCTGGAAAAGCTGATGAGTAGTCGATGGAGAGCCTCCCCTAAACTGCCAGCCTCTAAAAGCCCTCAACACAGCCCTGCTGGTGTGGCTCAGTGGTTGAGCGTCGACTCCTGCACCAAGAAGTCGGCCCACAGGCCAGTGAGTCTCGGGTTTGATTCCGGTCAAGGGCACATACCTCGGTTGCAGTTTGTCCCCAGCCCTGGTCAGGGTCATGCCGGAGGCAACCAGTCGATGTGGGTCTCTCACATTGATGTTTCTCTTTGTCTCTCTCCCCCTCCCTCCCACTCTATCTGATAAGTAGAAAAATATCCTCGAGCCCTGGCTGGTTTGGCTCAGCGGTTGGAGCGTCAGCCTAGGGTCCAGAGACCCGGGTCCCGTTCCCGCTAAGGGCACGTACCTTGGTTGCAGTTTATCCCCGGCCCTGGTTGGGTCGTGCGGGTGGCAACCACTCAATGTGTCCCTTTCACGTCGATGTTTCTGTCTCTCTCCCTCCCACTCTATCTGAACAAAAAATGGAAAAATGTCCTCAGGTGAGGAATAAAAAATAATAAAGACTCCATGGATGGATCTGGAGAACATTATGCTAAGTGAAATAAGCCAGTCATAGAAAGACAAGAAGTACCATATGATCTCATTCATCTGTGGAATTTAATGAACAAACTGAACTAATAAGCAAAATAGAGACAGACTCAGAGACAGCTATGAGGCAGACAGCTCTGGTGGGGGAGATGTTGGGGGGCGGGGGGGTGGACGGATAAGCAAACAAAAAAGAAGAAAAAGAGACTGGGGAGACAGCCAAGAAAGGAAAGCTTTTTAATTTTTTTTTCTTTGATTTTAGAGAGGAAGGGAGAGGGAGAGATAGAAACATCGATGAGAGAGACCACTGATTGGCTGCCTCTTGCATGCTCCTACTGGGGATCTGGCCCACTACCTGGGCATGTGCCGTGACTGGGAATCGAACCGGCGACCTCTTGGTGCATGGGTCCATGCTCAACCAGTGAGGCTCAACCAGTGAACCACATCAGCTGGGCAGAAAGGAAAGTTTTTTATCTTTAATACCTACAATGCACTTTCTTTCTGCTCTTTGGCCAGGAGGGTCAACAAATGACCTCACATTTTAGTAAATGGATCTAGGAGATCCTTATTTTCCTGGAATTGAAAGCAACACTCTTTGTGGGGGGAGTTGATTAACTTTATTTTTCCCTTTCCACAACCAGTTAAAAAAATACAATCAATGCAGGCACAAGGATCCAATTTATAGAGTGCGAAGTGGACCACAGCCCCACCCGGGTTTAGCATATTTACAAAGTCATGGGCATGGCTAGCAGGTATGTCGAAAAGCCAGCATTACAAAAAATACAGATGGTCTTTCTTTCCTTTACATTTCCAAATGAGAGCCCAAAACAAAGCGCGCTATTTACTATATAACTTATAAAAACGCTGTACAGGTGCACGATTATAAATATAGTGTAAAAATGGCTATTAGGGGATAGGTATCTACACAGGGGAAGGTCAGGGAAAGGGGGGCTCGGTTTGGCATCTAGCCACCACTCTCTGCCCCCAGGTTTGGTCGAAGCTCCCTCCCTCTCCAGGGGGAGCTGCAGTGAGGAGTGTGGAGGCAAATGGGTAACTACCACAGTGGGCTCCAGAAGGCACAGAAGGCATCTGGGACAGGACGGCGCACACCCTTGGACACAGACTCACACAGACCCTATTGCCATTTGATCATGGCTCTGTGGGAGGCCAGCCAGGCCCTCGTTTCCACCCTTGCAGAGAAGTTTGGAGCTTTGCAGGCACCGAGGGCAGGAAACCAAGTTCTCTCTGTGGGAATATGGGAGTATTTGGAGAGAGCATCCGATGGACGGGTGGGTGGATGGAGCTAACCATGAAAGCTGACCCACACAGTCACCTTGCACAGAGAGCAAGGAGACAAGTACTTAGAACTGTCCCATGCTTGAGTACTTCCTGGGGCTCAGGTGGTGGCAGTGGAGGGGACTCAGAAACCGAGTCCAGAAGACTCAGTGGGGATGATTTTAATCTGACACAGTAGCATTAGGCTTTAGCTATAACAGCCGAATGAAAAAGAGCCCTAGACCCTTGTAGCAGATAAACCACCTCTTCCTCAGAGCTCCCCATTGCCTGGTTCCCATCCTCCGACTGCCCGGTTCTGGAACAGGACCAAAGTGCATCCTGGATCTCTCTGTAGCTCGTGTGATTCCCATTCTGGAAACTTAAGGACACAGCAGGTAAAACACTTGGACTAGCCATACCTGCCCAGGTGAGGAGACCTTGACAGGGAATTTGGGGAGCACTTGGAAGAGCACACCTGATAGGCAGCTGCTCTTGTTTGAAGCCTGTCTTTGGTACAGAAAAAAAAAATTTTTTTTTATCCTCACCTGAGGACATTTTTGCATTCATCTTCAGATAGAGCAGGAGTGAGAGAGAGAGAAACATCAATGTGAGAGACACATTGACTAGTCGCCACTCACACGACCCCAACCGGAGCCGGGGAAAAACTGCAACCAAGGTACGTGCCCTTAGCAGGAACCGAACCCGGGACTCTCTGGTCCACAGGCTGACGCTCTAACCACTGAGCCAAACTGGCCAGGGCAGTACAGAAAAATTTGATCACAATAAGAAAAGCACGTGTGTATGTGTGCATCTTTGAGAACCTTCAATAAATTCTTCCCTTGGGACTTTCAGAAGAGGATGGTTTTGAGTCTGAAAATAAGTCCTATTGACCAACCCATTCGTGTGCAGGGATGGATGCGTGGGATCCTTTTTCTAGCCAGGCTTCATTGTCTAATTCTCTTTCTGCACCTTCCTGGGAGCAAAAGACCCAGGGAGCAGGGGCGGAGACAAAAGAACTGTGTAGGCTGATACTCGCGAAGAGGAATGAGAGTCAGAGCTGACGTGGCTGCCATTTCTCAGCACAGTGGAGAAGGGCACGCAGAACCAGGAGGGAGCCCAGGAGCCCGGGGGCCCCTCCTCCCACCTCGGGGCCGCTCCTACAAGGCTGTGCAGCTGGAGACGGTGTTTGTGTTCAGGGTGTCCATTTGGGACTTGGGGACCTCATCTGGTGCCTCTTCGACCATGACGATGTTACTGAAGGCCTCTGGGGCCTTGATGCGGATGTCCTGCTCCTCCTCCAGATTCTTGCAGCACTTGCTGCAGCGACAGCACCTGGGGCAGCAGAGCGTACAGCAGAGGCGGCAGCAGACACGGCAGCAGCAGCAGCAGTGTGTCACACAGTAGCCGGTGGCCAGGGACACCCCGAGGTCCCAGGGCTTCAGCGAGCGCATGCACACGGGCAGAAAGTTCCAGGTCTGCAGCACCTTGGGCAGCACGCGTGGGCAGCGGGACTGCAGGAGCTTGAGCACCACCACCAGCAGGATCACGAGGACGACAGGCACCCCCACGCCCACCAGCACTGGCCACCCAGCCAGCGAGAGGCCGAACACTGACAGTGGGATCATGAAGAAGAAGACGACCAGGTAGAATATGGCAAACCAGCGGTACTTAGCTGAGATGGTGCCCAGGCCCTTGGCCATGCGGATGGGCAGGCGGGCGAATGGGATTGGGTACCACAGAAAGATGCCTGTGATGTTGAAGAAAAAGTGGCACAGGGCAATCTGCAACATAAGAGATTGGATGGGTGAGTGGTCTGGCACGTGGCGGGGCTTGGGGGGGTGTCACCTAGCAGGCTTGGGCAGTAGTCACCAGCCCTCCTTGTCTCCACAGCTCAGACTAGGTGGGATCAGTATTGTCCAAGGGCCTACCATGCGTCTGGGGTTAATGGGGGTGAGGGGCTGACCAGTTGAATCACAGCAGTTTTCAGAGCCTAAGGTCCTTTAGGCAAACTAACCATGAGCATCATGAATGTGCCCACTGCCAGCCTGTGTCTGGCTGGCCTTGCTGTTTGCAGCTGAGCAGTCACGAGCTGGAGGGCAGAAGGAAAGCTTGCAGGGCAGCTGGCTTCCTCGGCTCAACACCCCACTAGGTGGGGGAGAGGGGAGACAGCGGCATCGGCTGCTGCTCTTTACTGTGGGCAAAACCACTGCTCTGTGTGGATTATTTCAATCCTCGGCCGATACCCTACGAGGTGGCTATCAATATTGTCCCCAATTGATATTGGAGAAAATTGAGGTACCATGATGTTAAGCTATTTTCCCAAAGTCAAACAGATGAGAGAAGGTGGAGGTGGCTTTGAAACCCAGGTGGCCTAGCTCCAGAGGCCACACACCATCCGGTGTCCTCCCACTAGGTGTCGGGGGGCTTTGGACCTGCCCTGTCGGGTACATTAGCCACGTGTGGTGACTGGGCACTTGAAATGTGGCTACTCAAAGACTTCGTCCAAAAGAACTTGTAAAGATTTCCATTTTTATATTGATTACATGTTGAGATGGTAATGGGTTAAATAAATACATCGTTAGAACAGATCTTCCTGTTTCTTTTCACTTTTTCGTTTTTCATTTTCACTTTTAAAAGTGTGGCTACTAAAAGATTTCAGATTATGTGGGTGACTAAACTTTATATTCTATACTTACATCCTATTTATATTGGACAGCATGGTTTTAACAGAACCTCAGGTCTTTATAATAACCCTAGTGAGATAGGGATTGTGGTTCCAACTTCTCAGATGTTTGACGGTTAGATCACCGGTCTAAGGCCACTTAGTGTGTAAATGGTCACTTAGGGTTCATATGCCAAAGGTCTTCTTGCCCAAGGTCACCTAGGTGATCCAGGCAAGGCAGGTGCCCCGATTCTTCTTAATACCAGGCCAACTTCTCCAAGAGGGGCATGGAGACAGAAGTGGGGTCTGTGCTTCCTGAGTACTCTTTCTACCTCTCTCAGGTGGCCACCCCACCTTTGCTTAAACAACTGCCCGTGATGGGAGTCTCACTACCTCTCTAAGGAGTAGACAGCTTTGACTGTTAAGTCTGTCTCCCTGTTGCTTCTCCTTCACATTCGTTTTAGACCTAACAGAGAAGAGCTGGGCTCTTGTTAGAAACCATCTGCTTGCAAGACCACGGGTAGAGTTGTATCCCACCCACAGAATCCCTGCCCCTCGCAACATTTCCTGACCTGGAGCGAGCTCCTCAGCGTGCTGCCCGGGCTGGCTAAGGCGGCCATAATGGCGGTGGTGGTGGTGCCGATGTTGGCCCCCAGCGTGAGTGGATATGCCCTCTCAATCGTTATCACACCGACACCTGGAGGGAAATACAAAGTCCATGACATCGGCCCCAGGGGGTGACAGGAGATGGTAATGGTGGCCCGAGGGAGAAACTCACCGATCAGTGGGGTCAGAGTAGACGTGAACACCGAGCTGCTCTGCACGATGAAGGTCATGCCCGCCCCCACGAGGATCGCCAGGTAGCCAGTCAGCCAGGAGAAGGGAAAAGGGAAATCTGAAGAGAGAAGGAAAAGACCCGTCATGACCCATCTCAGAAGACACAGGTTGGAGGCCTGGCTGGAACCTCCACAGGACCTGGGTGGGTAAGGGACACGAGCCAGGACACGCAACCTGCCGGGAAGGAGGGCCTCTCCCAGCTCTGGACTTGAGCTGGCTCTTGCCCAGGACCTTGCAAACATGCAATGGAAGCTTGTTCTTGCTCCCAGATCCCACTGAAGACACCAAGAAAGAAGTCAAGGGTGAAGGGTGTCTTAGCTTCTGCAGCTTTTCAAATCCAAGAGATAAACTCCATGCAGAGGCTGCTGCTGGATAAGAATCTACAGGAGCTCCCCTGAGGTGGCAACAGCGCTGCCATTCCCTAGAGAGACCTACCGGTGTTGATGGTCTTCTTGATGACAGCAGCTACTGGTCCCTCGAGCACAGAGCCCAAGACCTTGACGATCATGATCAGACAGCCACAGAGCACCAGCAGGGAGATCACCAGCAGGATGGTGCCAACGAAAAGATCCTGGAGGTTGGAATTCACAAAGATGTGCTGGCCTACAGAAACCGTGGGAAGTACTTATTAGAAGGGCATGGCGTCCCCCAAGGCCACAGATTGTTGTTTACTCCCCACCGCATCCCTTCTTTCTCCTAGAAACAGAATCTTAGTGGTTAGCCCCCAAGCCCCAGTGGCTGATGCTGCAAGTTCGACTCACACTTGGCAATATTCTCCCGGTGGGTCACGTTCTTGATGGTCCAGGTGTGGAGACCATCTGTCCAACAGAGGGAGAGGGAGGTGCAGTTCTCAACCGAGGGGACGGTGACATTCATCTGAGTCTGGATGGCAAACATGAGAAATGGTATGCATAACATTCAACTTTAGTGGGGAGTAGGGAGAGAGACCATGTGCACCTGTAAGCACAATGCATTGTTTTCTCCACAGGTCCCTCCATAAATGGGAACAGAGGCAGCCAGAGAGAAGCCAAGAGACATGAAAATAATGCCAAGTGGGAATAATGTGTCTGTGGTGTAGGATGGAGTAAAAAGCACTCCCCGTTCTACTTCATTCTGTCTGTTTGTCCAGCATTCAAGGACTTATTTCTTTATGGACTCTCATTGGCTAGTTTTGATTTTTCAGGAGACCCTAATTTTTCTTTTCCCTTCCCTTTTATTTGCCCATGTTGAATGAAAGAATTTGCTTAGAGTACAAATGCAAGAGTCCACCCACCAGCTGTCTTCTTAGAAACTTACCATGTTGCCCTGACCAGTTTGCTCAGTGGTTAGAGCGTCGGCCTGTGGTCCAGAGAGAGCCGGGTTCAGTTCCCACTAAGGGCACGTACCTTGGTTGCAGTTTGTCCCTGGCCCTAGTTGGGTCGTGCGGGAGGCAGCCACTTGATGTGTCCCTTTCACATTGATATCTCTCTCTCTCTCCCCCTCCCACTCTATCTGAACAAAAAATGGAAAATGTCCTCGGATGAGGATTAAAAAAAAAAGAAAGAAACTTACCACGTTGGTAAGAGTTTTGCACCAAATCTTGATCAGACTCTTGTTTTGAGCTGTTGCATCATTCATTGCAATTTGGCTGATAACCTTTTTATCCAGCTGAGGAAGGCAACAGACAGAAGAGAGTTAGCACATGCTCAGAGCTGACGCGGGAGAGGCATGTCGGGGCTGCTGCAAACGGGCAGGGAAGACACAGACTGTGAGGTCCTGCCGGGGTGAGCTGGGAGTCACCTATCTGCACTTGCAGGGGGAGCCCAGCACCTAGAGAGCAGGTGCTTGATAAATGAATGGTCGTGCGAGCATTCTAAAAAGCATGTAGAGCCCTGGCCAGTTTTGCTCAGTGGTTAGAGCTTCAGCCCATGGACCAACGAGACCCGGGTTCGATTCTGGCCAAGGGCACATACCCCAGTCGCAGTGCGTCCCCTGCCCTGGTCAGAGTCACATGGGAGACAACCAGGTGATGTGTCTTCTTGTATCGATGTTTCTCTCTCTTCTCTCTCTCTCCCTCCTTCCCTCCTAATCTGTCTAAAAATAAATGGAAAAATGTCCTCGGGTGAGGATGAAAAAAATAAAACTAACAAATGTGTAGATATTCCCTGGATGGCAGAGGACAAAGCAGGGGCGAGAGTGCGAGGGAAGGTCTACGCTGGCCCCTTCTCCCCAAGGCAACGTTCACAAAACCTGCTTTCATTTTGGTCCTATGGAGGCTCCTGACCAGAGGGTGAGCGGGAAGAGGGGGCAGTAGCCTTTCTTTTTGGCAGGAAGGAAGATAATACTCTCCCAGTGAGCCCGCCGGTGCTGTCAGTAGTGGGAGCAAAGGGCCCAGGTGTCCCGTGGGCAGTGCCTGAGTCTTGGGAAGTAGTCACCATCTCCCTCCGTTCCCCAACACGTTGGAGTCAAGGAAACAAAAGAGGCTCATCACTCATTTGGCGTTCCCCGGTACCACTTCCTCAGCCTTTTTCAGAAGCAGCCAGGTTACCTGGATAATTTGCTTGGTTAAGGGATCCGTGATGACTTTCAGTAGCGGCGGGGCGTCTTCTCCACTTTTGAAATGGAAGGACTCCACCACCAGGTTGGTCAGGACCTCCAGGTAATGGGTGCTGACCTCCACCGGCAGGAGGACCAGCACAGAGAGCCAGTTGAAGAAGTCGTGGACGGTGGCCCCGGCAAAAGCCCTACAGGAGGGAACCCCACCCGGCAGCCAGATTAGTCAACGAGCGGCCGGCACCAGCCAGGGAAGGTCAGTCTGTTTACATATCCCAAATGGGTGAGCGAGGTCAATCACTTTCCTCTGTGCAGGCACCTCCATAGATCACGCTTTTGTTTGTATTTCAGGGTTATCCAGAGGCAGAAATTCATGTAACAGTGAAAAGAACCCAAAGTCTGGATGAGAAAACCCTAGCTCCAGCCATGCCCCTCCACGGAGCCGGCCTCTTTGCATTTCCACAGTAATGAAACGGGCGCAGGAAGCCCACGTGGCTGCTCAAGAAGCTCGGATTAGCCGGCGCCCGGATAACGCGCAGCGGTCTCATCAGGCAGAGGCGGCGTGGGGATGTTTGCTGCCCCCAACCAGCCTGCCGGAGGTCATCTGCCTGACCCACAAAGCATGGGCATCATAGACACAGCTAAAAGCTGCTTCTCTATCTCAGTAAGTTAAAAAAAAAATGTCAGAAGAGAAGCTAGGGATTGTGCTTTACGTTCCCATTAACCTTTTGGAAGAAAAGACTTCCCTTTGCCTTGATCCAACCCACAGCGTATCTTAGGCGTCCGCAAAAGCTGCACTTTGCCTTTCACCAGCAGGCAAGTGGAGAACAAAGAAAAAGTAGCGTGTGTTGAGCTGGCCAAGAATGAAAGCTTCAGGTTATAATGATTCTGACTAACAGGACAGGAAACCCTAGCCCCGCTGGCCTGGTTTTGACTGCACCACGCTGCAGGTAAGCTTCCAGCTAGGGTTTGCATTTAAGGAGCCCAGACTGCGTCGGGCATCTTGCTAAGTCTTTTACCTGTAAGGTTGTGTTTACTCCTTTAGATAACTAGCATGGCGGTGATGCCTGTATTATCCCCATTGTGCATGTCAGGGGGTTGTTATGTATGTGACCCCTACCCTCAGCTGCACACCAGTAATAAGTGATCCAGGAATGACAAGCATCCTCTCATTGGTTATGTCAAGGTAGCTATGACAACCTGGCTAAAACCAATGGGCAACGGACTGGTTCTGAACCTCCTACCTTCTGAACACACTCCGGTCTCCTACTTGCATGAGCGCCACGAAGGTGTTGGTGATCGAGGTCCCAATGTTGGCTCCCATGACAATGGGGATGGCAGTCCGCACCGTCAGCACTGGAGTGCAGAAAGCAGTGAGTTAGCAAGCAGGGAGTTCAGGAAGGCAGCCTAGCCAGGTTCCTGATGTGAGCCAGGCGGGCTGCGCTAGCTCATCAGGGTAGAAACTCCCCAGAGCAGCAGCTCCTCCCCTCTTTGGGTTCTGCATCCTGCAGTGAATCCGAGCAAAGCTAGGGCAGTTCACCAGAGGAGTAAAAACGGGGACCAGAAAGACTTTTTAGCACATTAATTTCAGAAACTCCACAGACCCCAAGAAGCCCTTCTGAAGTGTCTTTCTGAATTGCTCAGATGCAAGGCCACCTCGAACGAGACCAGAAAACATAACAAATATGGCAAATTTCTGGCAGCACAACTTTTTGTTCTAACAAAATCAGTACGTTGCACATAAGTGTTTTAAAGAAGTAAAGCCCTTTTCTAATTTGCCCCCCACCTCGCCCCAAAAAGACTCTAGGTAACTTTAGCTACAAAGCTGGTTTGGGCTGAAAATTCGCATGTTCAAACTGTTCCCACTCAGGGAATCTCAACTATCAGTCAGGTTGAAGTTTGGAGCCGGCTCCCCGAGCTTGGCTGCCTCCTACGAACGTGTGATGTTACTGGGTGTCTTTCTTAGAGCTGAGCAGGGACAGACATTCTGTCTGCTGTTCAGTATAGCAGCTGCTAGCCACCGACGACTACTGACCCTCTAAAATATAGCTAGTGCAACTGAGGGACTGGGCTTTGTATTTTAAATGAAAATCAATTCAGGTTAAATAAAATTAAATAGCCACACGTGGTGAGTGGCTGCTGGACTGGACAGCGCAGCTCCGGATAGTTCAGCGTCACGGTCTTCGGCCAGACTCGGCTGTGGAGGTAGAAATGGGAAGCTGTCTGTGGATCAGAGTGGAGCACGCCCTAGTTGGACGGGGTGGGGAGATAATGGTGACAGGCCTGGACACAATAAATGCCAGGCTCCTGGCCGCAAAGGGATACACCCGGAATACGTCTGGGCTCACGGAAGCCTGGACTCACGTGAGGAGGCCACCATGCTGACGATGATGGACGTGGAGGTGCTCGAGCTCTGCACCATGGCCGTCACCAGCACCCCGATCATCAGCCCCGCCAGGGGGTTGGACATAATCGAGTTGTTGCTGAAGAACTTCCCGGCCATTTTTCCTGGGGGGAAACAACATGGCTACTTGATAGGTGGTTGGTGGGCACCATGTACTGGATTCTCCAGCCAGGGACAGCATCGGCTGCTGGCTGGGGAGCCCTATGGCGTCTTGCTCCCTCGTGATATTCCCTGTGCTGCCCTGATGCCGAGACATGTCCCCCCCCCCCCCAGGCCCTGTTCCTCTTGTGGCTTCATCTGACACCCTCCCATCCTTCAATCCCTGCCAGCAAGCCCCCCCAGCTGACCTTCTGATCATGAACCTGGTCGCATCTCAACACTTAACCCCATGGGTACCAGCTATCTCCGGTCCCAATTCCTATCTCCGGACGTGTCCCCAGTTCATCTGATTTATCCTCCAGGAGTGGATCTCCTCATCTTTGCACCCTCCCCCAAGCCCCTAGCCCCAGCCCCAGCCTGTAACTGAACGCTGGGAGTGTAATTTCTGAGTGTGACTCTGGGACCATCAATCCATTCCCCAATCCATTTTATAAAATAGACTGAAGTCCAGGGGGTGGAGGTGACTTGTCTAAGATATTGAGAGAGCAAAGCCCCTTACTAGTATTGCTTCGGACCAGGGGGACCAGAAGTGACCCCCAGAAAGTTAGTATGCCTCTCACACTCTCCTCCCTCATTCTCCCAGGCCGCAAAGACGAGTTGTCAAGAGAGGCACCAAGGGGTGCAGAAAGCCATGGCTTCTGCGTCACCCAGACCTGAGTTTGAATCTCATTATGCCAGTTACAGGCTGTGAGCCTGAGGGTCTGTCTCTTTGGGCCTTGGTCCTCTCCTCTGTAAGTGGAAGGGCTTTGGGAAGGAACGTTTAAGACAGTGCCCCCGAAAATGCCCGTATCCAGGAGGCACTCAAAGTGCTAGCTGTCAGTGTCGTTACCCATTTTGGGTAGAGGTAACCAAGCACATGGTGATGTCACACTGCACGGCCATGCTCAGCCCTGGATGGAGACTCCCCCAGGCCGGGGACTCCTGACTTCCCCAGCAAAGGCTCCGCTTTGATGTCCGTAATTGCTCTGGACTAAGAAGATTCTTATCCAACTCCACTCAGATGAGAGGCCCAAAGAAAGGAGGGATCCATCAGATAAACCGACGCCAAAGGGCTTCCTGTCCAGGGTCTGGGGACAAACACAAGGGGCTGGATGCTTGGAACTGGCTCTAGCCCTGGCTCCCGGCCTAAGCCCCCTAAGCCAGTCAGACTTTTATGGGCCTCGATTTTCTCCTCTGTAAAATGGGCGGTCTGAGGTGGTTTCCAGTCCTAAAATGCAGCTGGAGAGGGCTTGCTGAGTGGCGAGGGTCTGAACCAAATGAGAACACCCCTGTCCCCAGCCCTTCGACCCATTCATCTGTACCTCCAACCAGCTGGAAGGCGCTGCTGAGCACATCCAAGGAGCACACGAACAAGTAGAGGAACCCCAGGAGCAGAGCGAACTTCCCGAGTCCTTGGAAGATACACAGAATCTTCCCTTTGGTGTCTCTCTCTGGGGGAGCAGAAAGGGCACAAAGGCTTTCAGTGTCTGGAACCCCGAGGAGTGTGGCAATGAGCTCAGAACCGCCCCCCTCACCCCCAGCCAGTGAGCTCTTACCGACAAAGGCCCAGAGAGGGTAGGCACCTGTGGCTGCAGTCTCAAAGCAATTACCACCATAGCCCACTTAGCTGGAGCCCGTGGTGAAGTGTCTCTACAGGATTTGCACTGGGGAGGAGGGGTTCAGTGCAGCCTGGGGACAAGCAAACCAGGCTCCATGCCCTGCTGCCCTGGTGTCACTGAGCGAGGCAGTGAAGAGCACTTACCATCTGCTAAGTGTGGGGTCAGAGATAATGGCTCTTCTAAGCACCTTCTGAACAGCACAGACTATTTTCTAGAATGTGGCTGCAAGGTAGCAATCACAGCCTCCATTTGGGGAGGGCCTGGGCAGGGCTACATCCTTGACGGCTATTTTCTCCACTATTAAAGTGGCTCTCACCTCCTCCCCCCTGCACCGGGAAAAGCGTGTAGTCTTTGCTTGCCCTGCTATTCTGGCTGTAGTGTCTGTTTTCCAAAAGCCTTCTCCGATGCCTGCATACAGGTGAGGAGGCCCCCACCCCCACCCAGCTCTCAGAGCAGGGGACTTAACTGTTCACGGCTGCAGCCCCAGCACCACGACAGTACCCGGGACCTGGTCAGCAAGCAATGGGTTCTTTATTATGGAACAGCACGTGTCTGGCCTGCCTATACCCCCAGCAGTGATACATTTACTGAATGAATGAAAGTACAGCTGTGGCCAGTTTGGCTCAGTGGTTGGAGCATTGGCCTGCAGACCAGAGAGTCCTGGGTTTGGTTCCCGCGAGGGGCACGTACCAAAAAAAGAAAAAAAAAGTACAAACGATTCCCCAGTCATCACGCCGTGCTTTGCCTCCAGGCCTCCTAGACTGTTGGGTGACAACCCTGGCCAGGACCTTTGCTCAAAGGGCACCAGGACAATGGGGAGGGAGGTGATACCGAAATGGTGGTGAGCTCACTCCATTGCCATCTCATTCTTACCTGACCATTTGATCCCCTTGTGCTTAAACTCAGGCAGGTCCCAGGGGTCTTCCACGCCTGTGGGCTCCTCTATCAGTGTGGCAATGGACTGGGATGGCAGCAGTTCAATCTTGGTTACAGGAGTCCTGGTGCCATCTGGCCAAACAAACAACAAAGGCCAAGAGAAATGAGGAGTCGGCTCCATGTCTCCTGGGGCCCACAGGAGGCCTGTCGGGGCTGGATGAGCGGCCTTACCTTTGTCAGGCTCCTTGTCTTTCTCCACCGTGGAGATCCCTTCGATGTATTTACCTGGGTTGGGATGGGCATTTTCCACCTCAGGCCAAGGAGCCATGGTCTGTGGATGGGAAAACAGAGCTTAAAGCAGCGGCCACAGGAAGGAGGTGCACTTGGTCATCATGACAGGGAGAGCCAGTAGCTGTGAGATTTGGGGGAGTGGGGGAGTGTGGTGCTTAGTCCTTCTAAGTGTGGGCTCCTAAGTACCACATTACCCTCCTCTGTAGGCCTCCTTCAACCACTCACCCAGGCTGTCATGAAACCAACCACTTCTTCATGTTCTTTCACGCTAGCCTCAAATCTCTATTCTGGTCGATCCCCCTTTGATTTCCCTGACTTCTGTCTTGTCCTCTGTCTTGGCTGTCCCCTTCATCGACTCACCATATGCCAAGTCCTCACAGTTCTCCCAGGGGCCCCCAGGGGACTTACCATATATGCTCACATACATTCTACCTGCTTTACCAACCATCGGGGCTTCTGTGATACACATGACACATTGGACCTGGTTCAAATCTCAGAGGTGCCCCCTGTCAGTGGCTGTGGGTTACTCAAGTCCTTCTGAACATAAAGTGTTGGCTCCCCCATGTAGTCAATGGGGATCAGTCTTTATATTTACAGGGCTATGAGATTAACGGTGATGCCGAGGACAGTGCCTGGCACGGAGCAGGCATCTAGTAAACAGTAGTAATTATTGCTATGCCACGCTGCCTGGGTAACGGCCCTTTATCAGAACCCTGTTCTTCCAGGATCGGTAGCGACTTCCTCATAACCCATTTTCCTGCAGAAGCCGTTCTCAGCCGCACGGACTGGAGTATGGCTCTGGACACCCCTGGAAGCCCACCCCTCGCGGTCGGTGTCCTTCGACACACAATGCAGTCCAGAGGACAGAAGCAAACAAGTCACAGAAGAGGAAACACAAGTGGCTACAAATTAGGAATTCAGCCTCATGAGTAACCCAAGATGTGCAAATCAAGTTCTTTTAAATCAAATTAGCAGTAGCAACTTTTTGCATAACATGCCACACTGGAGACGACGCAGTGAGATGGGCACCGCGGAGACTCTGGAAAGCTGCTGGCAAAACCCTTCTGTTTCCCCCAAACCGCTGAATTAGGGATCGAACCTTGCGCTGATCAGCTCTTTGAAGAGGGTTTCCCAGAACCTGGATCGTTCCTATTTCTTCAATGGATCTATTTCCTGTCTACCTGAATTCCAGCACTACCAAAAAAGAGGGGCTTTGTCTAGTTTGTCAGTGTCCTCGGTGGCTGCCCCCTGGCTGGCACACGGGCAGTGCCCCGTGTTTGCTGACTGAACGAACGTGATGCAGCCCAGGAAGACCTCTGCCGCACTGTCGACAGAGAGCCGACTGAGAATGGGGAGCAGCTATGGTGCATCCACAGTGCAGCAGCTCGCCAACAAAGAGGTTATGAAGAATCAGCATAAAAACAAAACAAAAAAATAGGAAAACTGTGAATAAAAGGTACTTTTCCCCGTTCACAGCATTTCGATAAGGATGTGGAAATGTTTCATGGAGTTCAGAGTAGGTGATGGAATTGGGGGATTTTATTTTCTTCCATCTGAAAATTCTAAAATTTAAGAGATGCAGAAAGGTAAGAGGTGCAGGGATACCTGTCCTGTTACTCTTACTCATATTGATAAAGCCGGTAACGAGAAGCTGATTCTGGGAATCCCCCTCATGAGGGGTTTCCTGCACAACTGCCAAGCAGGGCGAGTGATCACGGGGAACATCCCGCAGGAGGAGACACCGATGGCCAAAGGATAGAGGCTGCATCTGAGACCACTGTTCCCAGGGGGAGGCGGACCCTGGTGCCTGGAACCCCCTTCCCTGGGGAGGAACGCTGAGGACCAGCAGGAGTCCTTGGAGCCTTTGGGCCCCTCCAAAGGCTTTCTCCCAACACCACACCCCTGATCCAGCCATTCCTTTCCCTGCCTCCCCAAGGCCACACCCCAGCCTACTCTCACTACCTGGCATCCATTTTGGCGGTTCTAATGCCCAGAAAGGTGTTTCTAATGCCCAGGCACGAGATTAGGGTTATGATCACACATCTGCTCCCTTGCTTTCCACCACTCACCCCTCCAATCGAGCTGGCTATGTGGATAGTCCTTTTAGCTCAACTTCCTGCATCGACCTGTGTACCCAGTGCTGAGAGGAAATGTTGCAGGCTAAGGAGAGGAAACTTCTTGACTCTTCTCAGACCTGGGTAACAGGGAAATGTAGGCCAGCTGGCAGTCACCCAACCCCTACACTCGACATTGTTTGGGCCACTCCAACCTGAACCTGTTCCCGAGGCCGCCTGTGCTCAGCCCACGGACATCAGAAGAGGCAGGGAGGAGGCACGACGCAGTGTCCTGTAGACAGACCAAGACACCCCCACACGTTCTCCCTCGTGGCGGTGGGCTCCGCCAGCACAGGGAAGATGACCTCTGTGGCCCCGGCCTGCAGGACCCTTAGCAGCACACATGGCTGTTGAGTGCACTGTGCTGGCACTACTGTAAGCCTTGTGCACAAATTCACCCGTGCCTCTCACACGCACTCCGTGCATTTCTGTAAGTTTACTGCAAATGTTTTTGAGGTACCAGTGTCAGGGGGGAACCAGGGCACAGAGGACCTAACTGCACACTTGCCTTCAGAGACCACTTGGACTTCCACTGTCCAATATGCTCAAGGAAATATTTTCTCATACTTTGAAAAAATGACCAAGACTTCAGAAATTCCCAAGAGGGTGATGGCTACTTTTTTTTTTAGCTTCCTTTAGCCATCACAAAGCAAACTAGTCCCCGAGGTCATGGTAGTGGGGGGGAGGGGGCAGTGGGGGACAGGAGACAGGAAAACAATTGGTCAGGGTTTTGCATTGCTGAATGGCTTTAGCTTAGACTTTTGAGATGCACTAACAGGATTTTAATAGACATTTACCCTCTCTTTGAACTAGGGCTCCATTACCATACTACCTTCCCAGGGCACCTTTAATTTGTGTTTATGATATTTTAAATGCATCCTGTAATTAACTTATAACTCTATCAATTATTTTGTATTGCATTGGGGAGTTAGAGGGCTAATTTATAAAAAATAAACACATATCCACCCTTTTGCAGCCCTCTTTTTGTGATCTGGCATTTTTAAAATTCATTGGGATGAATTAACTCCGCTGGGATGCCTGATTACTCCCTGCTGATACGCCATTCAGACCCCAGGGTGGAGGTGGGAGGAGGTCGGTGGGGAAGGTGCTGCTTTCTTCCCTAAATTGAACTCAGGCTATTTTTGTCAACTTTGTGTCTAACAGCAATAATCTAGACATCCTCCCACCACTGGGGACTTCTTTTAATGAGATGGTTGAGCAATTCAGGGAGGATTTTGGAGGCATGCCCTTCTTGCTACCAGATCGTTACCAGCTGGTTGGCTGGCACGGGAGAGGCTCAAACACTCTAACCATCTGAAACAATGGTCTCTTAAGAGACACAGCTTTGCAAGAACACACAGCAAAGAACAAGGTTAATGAACTCAGAAATCTCTTGGTGAACGTAATAAACAGGGAGGGACACAGGATTCCAAGTGATGAAATCCGTAAGCTGCCCCCATCAGATGTTTGAGAAAGCTGCCTCCTTGCTGAGGAGAGAATCGAACTCTGTTCACCTCAGTGCCAGCCGCCCATGGCAGGCATCTGCCCCAGGGGATCTAAAGACTGATTTAACTCCATTCCATGAGCTGCCCTCTTTCTGGCCTGGAGAGTCCTTGGTCCCCCCAAAGCTGCACCTGTGCACATCACCTGGTAAGCCACTCCCCAACCACCTGGCCTGGTATCCTCCAAACACTGAAAAATTGTGGGCTGTTCTCCCAGGACAAGCTGGCGGACAGGCCAGCCCTTTGCTGAATCAGGCCACCTGCCCTGATGAACAAGTTAGGACTGTATCTTGCAGTCACTTTAGATAAAGAACAACTTAGCAGTGGAAGTCATGCTGGGTGGGGGTGGGAGTATGCAGCACTGGACAGCCTCACGAACCTAGAATTTTCAGCTCAGACAAATCACAGGTGATTGTTCTTGTAAAGAGCGGAAAGCTGAGGCCCAGGGGCTCAAAGACCTGCCTTGGGTCACACAGCAAATTATTGACTAAAAAGGGCACCTGGATTACCCTCCCGATTCCTACATGGTACTTCCATTCCTCTCATTTTTTCCTCCCAAAACTAAGAATCCTAAAACATCTATTATTTTATAATCCGCAAGAGTGGCTCATTAATACCACTGCCAGTAGCAATAGTGTACTCATGGGAGTTGTAATAATAGCTATAGCAGTAATATTAAAACAAAACTAAAAATTTGGAGGTTTATTATCATTTTGTTTTCTTCCGCAGCCCCTAGCCAGCCAATTTCCCTGAGGTCATCATGGAGGGCTATCTACAAGAGTGAAGTCAATTAAGGCTCTTTCTAGAGTGAGGTGGGAGCGGCAGCTCCTGCCCGGCGGCAGCGGTACTCACCACGCTCCCCGCGCAGGTAATGGACCGGAGGAGGCACCCAGGTGCAGCCAGCGGCCCGGGGAATATATAGCCAAGGTGTTGCGCAAAGAGGCCGGCGGCGGGGGCTAGCACCACGCCCCCCGCACATTCCAGGACCGCCTGCCGGCGCCAGGGCACTGCCTACCTGCCGGCTAATGAGCCCATCGTGACCTCGCCCGCTGCGCCGAGGACAGGCGGCCGGGCGTCGGGGAGAATCTCAGCCCTTCCCCGGCGGCCTCCAGGCAGCGAGCGTGCCCGCGCCCCGTGCGCCCTGGCCCCGGGCTGGCGCGCTCTCCTCCGCCTCCACGCCGCCGGCAAAAGATCCGGAGCGCAGACGCTAGTGGGGCTCCCCAGTTCCCACCTTCCCCTCCCCAAGAACCTGAATCTTCTAGTTTAGCTGCCCCGGAGAGGAAGACAAACCCCAGCTGGAAAACCCAGGGACAAAACCTTTCAAAACAAAGCCAGGATTGTTCAGCCTTACCAGGCTGTGGGAAACTTTCAGCTTCAGGAGCCTGGACTGAGCGGTAGACACTTGGGAGCCCCGGGTCTGCGGCAGGACATGGCTGGGTGGGGCAGGCTGGGGAAGCAAACCCTGGGTCTGTTTCACCTTCTGCGCTGCCCTGTAGGGCCACACAGCTTTTTCCATCCTGATTGGGAGAAGACTGCCCAGGGGGAGCCCATCACCACGCTCATCGGAACAGCAACCGGGTTCTGTCCCAGGCAGACACAAACGCTGCCTTCCCTGGGCTCGGGGCAGCAACCTTTCTGGTTGAGGGCTTAGAGAGGCGCAGGAGCATGACATAGGACTACTAGGGATTTGCCGGGCTAGGCTCAAACCTGGATCTTATTCCAAAATGTAGGTCTTATTCCCTCTTCAGAAGGGTCCTGGTTGTATAGCTGAGGAAAGTGAAGCTTAGCAGCTGACTAGTTGACCAGCTGCCCACAGCTAATATGTAGTGGAACTAGGCTGGTTTCATTCCAAAGCCAAGAGCTCCCTCTCCACCATCCGGGAAGAAGTCAGGAGCGCTGCTTCCAGGAACCTGCAGAGCCAGAGCCAGAACCTCCCTGCGGCTGAGCAGTCGGTGGTTACCCTGCTAACACGGGTGTCACGCTGCCTGAGATCAGTCCCGTTTGCCCCTGGCGTCCCCTGCCTCCAGTCACTCCTGTGTAAAATGGAAATAATGGTCCCTACCAGAGTCAAATGAGCTAAAATATTTATAGCACATAGAACAGTACCCGGCACATGATGGGTGCTCAGTGTTAACCATTACAGTTTTCACTGGGAACCTCTGATGTTGGGAGGTGAATGGAAGCTTTGATTAGGCTCATCTAGAACCTTGAGGTCATTATTCCACAGCCTCAGCTGCTGGTCACATTGGCCCAGAGGCCAGGACATACTGCTTGGAGGATGGGCATTAGAAATCAATTATTCTTATTGTAGGGATAATAGTTTTGCTTGTGGGTGTTAGACTTAACAGCCAGCCCTTGGAGACAGTAATCCACCACTGTCATTCACTGAGCGAAGCGTCACCTCCAGCCCTGGGCGAGTGGGCTGCAGACACCAGCTCAAGGGTTCCAGAGCCCACCTCCACTGCACATTCACTCAGACACTCTGGCCGTAGCTGTGGGCTTCAGTGTCCGTCAGGACCTAACTGCCTTCACATCTCCCAACACGGAGCTAATAGATCAGCATTTTTAAAAACTTGGAAAGAAAGGTTTTTCTTTTATATTCTAATTAAAGAGGCAAAATGCTGGTTCAATCAGGAGACCTTTTTTAAAAATGTGTGTGGATTTCGGTAATGGACCGGGGCTGATGTCTGTTTGATTCTCGTTTCGGATTGCAGTTTTTGTATTACTTTTTATACAGAGTGTGGAGGAAAAGTAGATGGTGTGTGTCTGTCCAGGCTCTCTCCCTTTAGGGGAACACAGTTTGTTGCAGACAATTTTTGTCTTTGTTCCATCTCAGACACAGAACACTATCATCACTGTCAACATACAGCTTGCGTCCACACAACTGCTAAAGTACTTCCATTCACACTGTTTTTGTGTCCTATAAGGTTGAATTGACAAAATTAAATGGTATCATTAATTTGAAGTTGAGGCCCACCTAGGGGTCACCCAGTGTCTTGCCCCTGGGCTACAAAACTGTGAGCTTCCATTTCTAGAAAGTAAGATGTAGACACTCCAAGTGGGACCTGGACAGCACCCTGTAATCAGATCCATTGACATGTTGGCTGTAAAAATGTATAAATATTGATACTAAGGGGAAGAAATTTGATTTCAGGATAGGGTTTGGCAATACATGAGTATTTAAATTGCCGATTAGATGCCCTGGTCAGTTTGGCTCAGCCGTTGGAGCGTCGAGTCCCGGGTTTGGTCCCCGCTAGGGGCACGTACAAAATAAATAAATAAATAAATTACAGATTAGAGATCATGACTGCTACCTGAATGTTTACTATGTGCCAGTACCTTTCTAAACACTTTACGCATATTGTCATTAATCCTTATAATATGATAAGCTACATGTATTGGGCAAGAAACAGGCCCCCAGAGAAATTACAACTTGCCCTGGCCGGTTTGGCTCAGCGGTTAGAGCGTCGGCCTGCGGTCCTGAGAGACCCGGGTTCGGTTCCCGCTAAGGGCATGTACCTCGGTTGCAGTTTTTCCCCGGCTCTGGTCAGTCGTGCGGGTGGCAGCCACTCGATGTGTCCCTTTCACATCGATGTTTCTCTCTCTCTCTGTTCCTCTCTCTCCCTCCCACTCTACCTGAACAAAAAAAAAAGAGAAATTACAACTTACTCCAACATTACAGAACTAGTAGGTGGCAGAGTTATGATCTTAACCCAGTCACCAATTTCACCGACATAATCAGTAAAGTTTTTCACTACTTTCTTAGTTCCTTTCTCTTCTTATAGGGGTATTTGGTTGCCCAAAGGACTTGTATGAGTGGAATGAAACAGAATAGTGAACCCAGAAACATGGACATCTAACAGTATCACTGTGGAGCAGTAGGGTAAAGATAACCTTCAGTGAGTGGCTAACCAGATGGGAACAACTAAGACTTGACCCTCTGCTCCAGAGTGGGTGCACACACACAACTCTAAATATTCATAAACTCGGGGTAGGGAAAGACTTAAACAGGATCCAAAACACAGAAGAGTAAAAGGCCATCTAAAATGGAAGAAGGATCTGGAACACATAACTGATAAAAACCTTGTTCCAGAGTATGGAAAGGATGGCTACATAGTAACAAAGGGGAGGAAATCCAATTGAAAAATGGTCAAGAGACTAGACTGGTCACTTCACAATGATAGTCAATGAACCCATTAACAGGTGCTCAATATCACTATTGAGAGAAATGCAAATTAAACCACAGTGAGAGTTCAGCCCAGTATAATTAATCAATGTCACCCCAATAAATTCAATAAAAGATAAACACAATAAATCCAGTGTGTGCACATTTCCTTTCATGCATATGCCTAAGAGAAATGTACACGTGTTCACCAAAAGATGTACATGAAATGAAACAGATAAGTCCCATTTCACAACGTTAAGAAAGCCAGACAAATATAGAAATAAAATAATAAACAAAAATACAAAGAAGCCAAACAGAAGGGTTCATATTGTTTGGTTCCCCTGGTATAAAATTTCCAAATCAGCCAAAATGGAGTGTTCAGGAACACATGCTGAAGTGGTAAAACTATGAAGAAGCAAGGACTTAACACGGAGGTCAGGTGGGGGTCACTTTGCTGGGAAGGAGGGAGTAAATTTGAGGGAACATGATGGGGTTTGAGGTGTTGACAGTGCCTTTCTTGGTTATGGTTGTTTGCTTTGTAATAAATCTTTGCGATGTCCAGCACTAATCCTATGTATTTTTTTTCTATGAATATTTTACAATTAAAAGGTTTAAAAAAAATGGGTGGTACTGGGGAGCCGTGCAGGGGGGAGGAGGGTGGGCTCTGGGTTATCCCACTGAGTTTGAATTATTTTGAAGCCACTTACTGGCTGTCACATGAATATTTACCACAATGTCAGCACTTACATATGGTCTGAGGGGTCTATTTCTGTGCCTCTTCGACTGTCCAGACTTAATATTTACTATTATAAGCAGAAAACTTTCTTCCTACATAGCACTGGGCTAGGGTCTAAATAACTGGGGCCATTGGCAGTCAGCGCCCACTGTATGAGGATGCACCACATTAGGACTAAGACCACCTAGTTGGGCCATGCACAGGCCCTGGGGAGGTAACCAGTACGGACCCGACTGTCGCGGCCTGGCTGGTGGCCAGGAGTCCAGTGCGAAGAAAGGTGACTGCCATGCCGTTTGCACCCTCTGCTTCCGTCCCTCACCCCACCTTTGCTCTTGCCATGGCCTCTCCCTGGAACCTTCTCCCCGACTTTCACATGGAAGCTCCTTGTCATCAGGCCTCAGAGAGCTTCGCTGAGCCTTTCTCTGTCACCCCATTGTATTCCCATCATAGATTTATTGCATAACCTTTCCAGCAATAAGCTTCCAAATAAACTGTTTCTTCCTGGGTTGAAGGATTGGGATTTGGGGGTCCAAACTGTTCCCTCAATATTTCACTTTCAACTTAAAACATTTTTAACCAAAGGCATTTAAAGTCATTAGAATGTGTAACTTTTTATCACATTTGAAAGTAATTCTTGTCTGGCCAGTGTGGGTCAGTGGTTGAGCGTTGACCCATACACCAAGAGGTCAGCGGTTCGATTCCCGGCCAGTCCATGTTCTCTCTCATCGATGTTTCTATGTCTCTCTCCCTCTCACTTCATGTCTCCTTAAAAATCAATGAAGGGGGGACAAAAAAGTAATTCCTAGTCACATAATTAAAGTCAAAAGGTAAAATAACTTAAAATTAATCAGGAACTCACAGCTCTGAACACCATGTCGGAGGCGGGAATCTCCCCTCTGTTCTCCGTGGAGCCTGGGTCCAGTGGGCCTGTTGGAGATGCTAAAGGAAGACATGTTGAGCGAGTCCCAAGCACCCTCCTAACCCCTTCAGGGAAGCTCGTGTTCCCATTACACCCAACCTCCAAAAAAAAAAAGATAAAAGTTATAAAACCCAATA